CCAAGCAGTAAATTCATCAGTGCATTCAATGTGGACCAGGTTATCCCTGGACTTTTTTCCCCTGTAATATAAAAGGAATGAGATTTTCGCACAAGGCTGTCCTCCAAAAGAGATGTTCATAATTGAGTTATGCACATGCATGTGTACTCTGCTTCACAAGATGTGTTGAGTATGCATTAATTCCTTAAGTGGAATAAACCACTTTTAACTGGGACGAAATGTGTCATTTTATATTACTGGCAAGTAAAATTCTGTGCAATAAATAAACTGGAGAGACAAGCTCTAATGTCCAATTAAAATGTTCTCTTTGAATCTCTGTCATTCACATCATGCAAATTCTTGGACATCAATCACTGAGATAAGAACAGAAATATTTTTTAATAGCCCTGGGGTGTTTTCCTTTGTTCATATTGTAAAATAACTTTTTGTAAAATGTTTCAGCAATTTTCAAGCCTAAGAGAAAACAGAATCAAAGAGGGCTTTATTTTCATTGTACACCAGTCCCTGAATATAACTGACTGGGACATTTTTCTACACAGGCACTACTGAAGTGCTACTGTTTATCTTCTTTTGTTCAGTAGCATATATGCAAACCATCCTAACAAACTGTTGTTTTTGAAAGACCTAAATGTCACTTAGGCTGAATTAGAGATGTTGTGTTTGGGGGTGCATCAGCGCCTTTGGTGTTGAGCTCCTGCCCCTAGTTCTAGGTGGCCAGGGACATACTATGTATTGAACATTTATTTGAATACTTGTGTATGTACAGTGGTGCCTCGCTTAACAATGATAATCCATTCCAGGAAAATCGCCGTTAAGCGTTAACCCATTTAGACCATCGTTTTGCAATCGGAAAAAGATCATACAGCGATTTCATCGTAATGTGGGGCAATCGTTAAGCGAGGCACCACTGTATGTAAATGTTTCTTTGTTTAAAAAATCAATGTATAACCAACCCATGCTGCTCAAACCTGTGCAAGGCAAGGGAGAAGTGTCTTCTAAACCAGAGGTGGGCAACGTAGCCCTTGCGGCAGCATGAAGGCCCTTCTGTACTCTTTAGGGGCAACAAGGGCCCTGAGGGCCAAAATACCAAGAGCAATTTCCCCTTGTGCCCCCAGAAAGCCTTTTTAAAGAGGAAAAACGGTGTTGCCGCAGGTGGCCCTCTGTGAGGTCTGTTCTGTGGGATTGTCTCAACCCTATTGTAAACTACGAAACACAAGTAATAGTCATTTCAATGATACTCTAAACAGGGAAATAAATATGATAGTCAACATTTATCCACAAAGTGGACATTATTAGGCTTCAGTGCTTGGCACCCATCAGGGGCAGATTCCTCTTCCTTTTGAATGGATTTTTTAAAGCAGGTGTGTGAAATCGATGGAGGACTGAATTTGCCACAACATACAGTGGACCCTTGACTTACAGACGGCTTGACTTACAGACTTTTTGAGTTACAGACTTCTCTGGCCGCAAAATTTAGGTTTGACTTGCAGACTGAGAATTGACTTACAGACCAGAAAAAAACCAAAATGGAACAAAAACGGCCTGTTACGGGATTAACCGGTTTTCAATGCACTGTAGGTCAATGGAGACTTGACCTACAGACTTTTTGACTTGAGAACCGCCTTCCAATACGGATTAAGTTCTCAAAGTCAAGACCCCACTGTACATCCTTTAAGTTCATATCTGCTCCCACCCATTTCAAAACAGTCAATCCAACATGAATATAAAGCTTTACAAAAACCAAATTAATGGTCATAATGGGCAAGAGGGAAAAAAGCCCAAGAGCAATAGGCTACAGGGAAGAAGACAAGCTGATCTCACATGAGCAAGGATCTTAAGGCCAAAATAGACCACATGCGCACATACACCGTCATCTTTGCATTTCTAGAGGTAAAAAAACATTCTGCAATGGTTCTGGCAGAAGCTCTGTGGCTACAATTTCATCAGTGTGTGAGGGCAAGGGCCTCCACTCTCCCTGTCCTCCACTGTCCCTATGGAAAAGTATCTCCCATTCTAGAGCTGTTGCACCCGCAGTGCCAGGGGAGGGGAGGGAGGCGGTACTTTAGGGGAAGTCTTGCCTTCGTCCTCTATATGGATCAAATGAGACCTCAGCCCCGCCTCGCCATTCGGACCACAAGGCTTGGATGCATCACCTCTGTCTTAACATGACGTCATACTCTACCCAAATAGTTTTGGTTAAAGCTCTGTTCAAATGAATGGGGAATTCTACCGGCATGGTTGTACATTTGTATAAACCCCATTTCGTTTCAACAGAGCTCGCTCAGAAGATACCTTGGGCAGATTATGTCTGTCCTGAGATTTCAGACTTGAACAAGACACGTAAACCCATCCACTGTAAACAGCATAGGGAGTATGAAGATGATAGCAAGCTTTGTTGAGGTGTTCACCTCAGGGAATACTCACCCTCACATCAATGTACCCTCTAATTTTCAGCCCTGCTGGGCTGCGCACACAACTTTGCCCCTACAGGCACACGGGGGTCCATTGCGGTAAGAACCAAAGGGGCTGAAAACTATCGCTGCCCAGATTATGAGGAAAGCTGCGCAGAGGAAGAGTGGCAAGCGCCTTAGAAGGAAACTTGCCCCACATGCCGGGAAACTGCCCTCACCCTATCCACTCCCATTTCCAGTTTTACTGTCCCAAACCAGTGATGGGCACTGAGTCTCAACATTGAGTCTCTGCTGTCTGTAAGGGTTCTCCTCTTTAAGAATTGCAACCCTAATTTTCCCAGAGTCCAATTTACAGGAAACACCCCACAGATAGCAGAGGCTCCCCTATTCAGACTCCTCACCCTCCAGGATGGAAGTGACAATGGAAGGGGCTATGGATTAAGTGCTCATTTTCAGCAGGGTGGATATTGCCAAGTATGGTTGCCTATAGAAATGGGCATTTGGAGGAAATACACCTGAAAAAGCATCCTGATAATTATTTTCAGTTCATTCTCCCCACTTTGCTTTTCCTTATCACAGTAAGCTCCAAAACTCCTCTTAGAATGCAGAGACACACAACTCCTCTTATAATACAGAGCTACATATGCCTACAAACAGCGGTATGATGATGCCCTGTGAGGAATCAAGAAATTGCAGGAGTGAACTGTGCCTCTTAGATGAGAGTTATGCAACATATTAAGCACTACTTCATTGCCACTAAGATGGCTCTTTTAATTTGGATGCTGAGTTTTATAACATGTAGGAAACTTGCCCCACATGCCGGGAAACTGTTATGCAACATATTAAGCACTTCTTCATTGCCACTAATATGGCTCTTTTAATTTGGATGCTGAGTTTCATATCATGCATATCATCACCACCCCTAACACATATACACAGACACACTATTTTAGATATGAACATCTTACCTTCGTTTGCAAAATTCCCACTGTCTCCATCTGCCACAGAAAGCCCAGCAGCGCTCACCTGCTTTGAACTAGCCCTTGACATCACAAGGCAGAAAAGGGCCACTTGGCCACTTTTCTCAGCCATGAGATCATATTTAAAGAAAGTAAAGTAAAGAAAGCACAAGAAAATAAAACTAAATTCAGCAGGAGCCTGATGCAGAAAACACCGGAATGAGATGAATGTCTAGACAGATAAGCAGCCTCCTCTCTCTCTTCTCTCTCTCTCTCTCTCTCTCTCTCTCTCTCTCTCTCTCTCTCTCACACACACACACACACACACACACACACACACACACACACACACACACACACACAAAGAAGCAGACCAGCTGGTAATTTTACGTTCATAACAGCTGTGAAGTTGTCATTAAAGCTGGACTAAGACTTTCTGCTGCAACACAAACCAGAATTCTAATAAAGAAAGCAAGACAGGGATGAAGAGGGGAAGAACAGGCCCTAAGAGACAAGCCTTGGATTCACCACAGATAGAATTATTGTACTGGAATGCCTCTTTCTGCCTTGTCTGGCAATTTATCTCTTGAAAGTAATCTGATGTACAGGTAACATGGGCTTAAGACACAGTGCGTGTCCCTCAACAGATACTGGCTCCAAGCATGAATAGCTAAAACTCAGATCTTTCTATATACTGTAATGAGCTGTTACTTTCTGGCCAAAGGAACGTGCTGTTTTACAGAATGATGACTCTCCACTTTATGTAGCTTGGTTTGCTCCCTTCCATGGCAGCAACGGAGTGTATTGCATCCAGTCAGTTATGGCTTCACTTTTTTAACCACTGTAAATGTCCTAGCAATCAAATGAACTAGCCCAATGAACTCCAACCAAAATTAAAATCCTTTCAGGGCCATTAAGCATCTGCAAAGAAATGGGGAGGGAAAATTCTAAGGAGAGATGGGAGTTCCTTTTAGGAACAGTGTTGTGGGAACATCAGACATTTGACTCCTTCATAAATTACTAAGTCATCACAAATATTTTTTTACGGTGAAATCATATAAAAGGATTTCCACAATTCTCCAATGGAAATAAACCCCACCCGGGAAAGAAATTTTAAATGATCACACAACCTTTGCCAGAGAGCAAGACCATTTGTCTGTCAAAGACAGAGAACCAGTATCTCTTGGAGGGACACTGCCCAGAAAGTTTCTCTGTGTGAACATGTCCAAAGAGCAAACACATGTACAAAAACCCTATGAGGAAAGACTGAAAGAACTGGGCATGTTTAACCTTAAGAAAAGAAGACTGGGGGGAAATCGGAGAGGACTTTTCCAATACTTGAGAGATAGTCATACAGAGGAGGGGCAGGACCTATTCTCGATCATTCCAGAGTGCACGACATGTAATAATGGGCTCAAGCTACAGGAAACCAGATTTAGGCTGAATATCAGCAAAAATGTCTTAACTGTTAGAGCAGTACAACAATGGAACCAATTACCCCAGGAGGGGGTGAGCACTCCAATGCTGGAGATATTCAAGAGAAAACTAGGTAACCCCCCGTGAGATCTGCTTTGATTTGGATTCCCGCACTGAGCAGGGGCTTGATGGCCTCATAAGCCCCTTCCAACTCCATTATTCTATGATTCTATGAATGAGAGAAGAGACACAGAAGGAGAGAAAGAGACAGGATTTTGCTCAGAGAACCACAGCTTCCAATTTTAAATTACTTTAAATTATAAGGCATTCTTGAGGAGTGTTGAACCAGCAGGAAACTAAAAGCCAGAGAGACATGATGTCAGTGCAGGGCGTAGGTGATGGCTGTTATGGCTTTTGTCTGGTGAGGGATTCCCACCACATGAACAAGGTTTTCGTCATGTGACCGTCCCCCGACACACTGCAACTGTCTGTGGGCCAAGAAATGCGCCATGTTCCTGTGGCTGGTGGGGCAGGGGAAGAAGGCACGATAAAGACTAGTCACTAGATGAGTACTTGCAAACCTCATGAAGTAAGAGGGAAATGTCTGCCCAAACGTATCTGTGCGGTGTCTTTCAACCCTTAGTTGCAATCCGTGGCTAAGGGGTGGGGGTGATGAAGCAAGCACACTACTGCAACCTCCCATTAAGTTGTACGCTCATGCAGCTCTCTTGCACATGAAAGCATTTATTTCCTGACAGGTGGAGCAGAGAGGCACACATCCGCTTGTGCAAACCGATCCACTAAAAACGACGGAAAAGAGCACTTTCTTAGAGAGGACCCTCCAAACCTCCAGCATTTGCTGGACCAAGGCAGAGGCATCTGAGATATGTTTCCAAGCCTAATAAAAGCACCAATTGAAAAAGAAAGAACTTCCAGATTTTCTATTTGGCAACACTGCAAGCTCTTTTTGCTTCAGTAATTAACCTTAATTTCAAGCACTGAAATCTGCAAAACATTCAGGGTTGTCACACTCTTAAATACGTAGATCTATTCCATTTTTTTCCTCCTAACGGTGAAGATAGAGAGCTCATAGCTAAGTAATTTTCAGTGCCAGACAACAGACTCTTTGCTGAACGTATGATGACATTCAAACAGGATAGAGGCAAACATCCCGGTCAAAGGCAGTGTCTGGCTACCATCATCAGTTTCAGGACAATCTCAAGAGTCGTAACTCAGCTGTGAGGTAAGAACTTTTTTCTTTTTTTCCCCCCCAGAGACTGGGAACAGCCTCATGTTCTCCAGAAGGGTGTTTCAAACTCTCCAGGTGACTGGAACAGTCTTAAGGTCTCTGCAAAATGTGTAGAAATATTAAAATCTTACAATGAGCTATGACCTAACAGAAATGTATCTGCTAATGTTTAAGAAGGCATGATGATGAAATGATTGATCCTGATTTAAACTATAAATAGTATCCAAATGTTTTATCTTCTTTCTTCTTTTTTCTTTTTTGTTGTGGTTTTATAGTCCAAAGGCTTTTACTTGTTTCAATCAGCTTTTACATGTATTTTTATTTGCATGTATTTATTTATTTTTGGCAAAATAAAAAGGCTTATGGCTTCTTAAGGCCAAGGGACACAACTGAGGCCTAACTTGGTATCCTGCGATAAAAGTAAATATATCCCAGCTCCCTGGGTGGTCGTTCAGAGGCACAAACTTTAAGGTCGTTGTAGATTACCCATCTGAAAAGAAAGGGAGAGGAAAAGAGAGAGAGACAGCGAAAGTTGAACTCAGCACCCAGTTCTACAAAGTACCCACCAAGTGTGATCCTACCTTGATCCCTGGTTCGAATTCTAATATTGCTCAACATCCTCCTGTCTGCCAGGACTATTAGCCTTGGTGGTATCATGTTATCTCCTTAACTTGCTGAAATTTTAGGGATGTCCGCTCCTAAAGCAGTGGGACCAGTGATCCACTGGCAGAGGCTGCATTTCACAATAGGAGGTCATGCTCCTGGGATGTTCAGGTGCTTTCTTTCCAGACACTGTCATGAGCTTCACGGGTACAGCAACAGGTGGGGAACTCACTGGAGAAGAATGTTAGCTCCTAGGCATTTAAAAACAATGCTTGGCTCTTAAAGGCCAATCTTTTAAAAACCCTGCTAACTTGGACACCAGTCCTATTCATCGTTTCTACAGAAACTGGACTGAAATGCCAGCCTCAAGAACTTTGGCCTACTTGTGCGCTAAATAAAATGAACAAAACAATGATGGATACCGACTCACCTCCCCTCCTTTTTGAGATGACAAACGTAATGGCCGCTCATTGTAGATGTTCCCATGTGACTGATGAACCCAAAGAGTTCATATCCTGTGCAATGAAATATTAAAAACACAATGAGAAGGGTGTAAGAACTTTCTCTCCTAAAACCACGTTGAGACGCCCACCTTGTCCACTGCCTTCCTATTTTTGATAGGGCACAGGGCTGGCATAGCGTATTTGATGTTTACTATAGACATTGTAGTAGCAGATTAAGGAATGAAACGGACATTTGGAAAATGACAAAATCATGCATGTGGACGATTCTTCATCTCAGACGTTCCAGATCCTGACACTGTACCCATGTGCCGTGAAACATATACACATATGATTATATATGAGATCATCAATGATATGTCATTTGAGCTACTTCCCTCAAATGAGGGTTGAATTTCTGATAGTTCTCAAGCATGTTTGGATTTTCTGGATTCCAGCCAGGAGATCCCAGATACACTTTCATATGCTGATATCTGCATGATCCCGTAAAAACTTTGTAAAAAGGCACCCTACAGCACCCTTAACTATTGCCAGGCTACTTGAGCACACCATTACATTCGCCCTTTGGTGATCTTTAACTGTTGCTTAATAGCTCCATCCTGTGGCTAGTTTTAGATTTTTCCTGCAAGGATCAGGATGACATCAGAATGAAAACTGAACAAGTGGATGTTTTAGCAAATACAGGTGTTGGAACAAAACCTAAACAGTTATCATAATAATAATCTCAGAATTGCAGAGGTGGAACGGACCCCATGGGTCATCCAGTCTAGCCCCTGTCAAAGAGGCACAGCGGGGAATCGAACCGCCAGTTCTGGTTCCACAGCCAGATACCTAAGCCACTGAGCTATCCAGCAGTTCTTCACTTAATGGCCACATCTGGAGCTGTTTAATATAAAATGAAACCGACAGCCCAAAGTGGCCATGCATTACTCTTGCCAGCTCTCTGCATCAGTTTTGGACAAAGCCAGCCTCGATACCCAACAGACTGACATTTATATGTGTTGCACCCATGCTCTCTTAACTCATGGGTGTGCACATGCAGGAACCTGGACAAAAACATCCAAACAGGAAAATAAAAGGGAGTGGACAAGTTTTTCATTGTCAAGCACCTCAGCCTCAAAACTAAAGGGGGGGGGAAGTGGGGTAGAGGAAAACTTTGTTGTTTGTAAAGGTGACAACAGGAAGCTTTGAAAGTGTGTCTCTGCTTGATCGCTATACATTGCTCCCTTAAGACAGAAGTTCAGGAAGTTGTTTTTTGCAAAATGAAATATACCTAATGTAGCAAAGGAATGCTCAATGCACCCGGGTACGGGGGCGTGGGGAACAGGGCGCCCTCTCTTTCTTTAAATCCCTAAAAGCCAGAACTGATTCATGTAACTACACCAGTGGTGCAATTATTTGAACAATTTCGAAATTTCAGATTTTGAGTGGGAGACTAGCCATTAACCTACCTTAGACTGCTAGTTCAAAGTTAATTAGCCTATAAAGAGCAAGCTTCAATCACCACTTTTAAGATAATGATATATTGCCAATGGGACTTTATTTCTAGTTTTTTATTTCCTCCTCCACTAAATTTCACGTACACTTCAAATCCCTGTTGACTTTTAGAAGGTTGGTAAAAATGAACCATCAGGCATTTTAGAGGATTTGGAATTGCAAAGCAGCTACGATGGAATTATATATATATATTATTCTCCTCAGCTTCTTTGCAGGGCTTTGTGTTGATCTGGATCACCATCCCTGAAGAGTTTTTGATAATGATGAACACTATGCACAACTGAACATCATTTCCCTTGCTGGTAGACAAACGATTCATTAATGTAGCAAATACACGTTGAAGAAAAACTCAATAAGCTTTTCATAACAATCGAAACCAAAGATCCGAAATAAACTTACGTCCCGGCCCATCCTTGACTCTGGGCCCTTCTGGGTCAGATTCTGCAAGGATGTTAGCATTCACATGATTCTCAATATCCATGGCCTCAGAAGTGGTGGTTCCATTTTCCTCTTCCGGCTCTGGGTGACTGAAGATCCAGTCTAACGCATGTTCCAAGTTATTATTCTGACAGCCGAAGCAGCATAGAAAAATAACACAGTCAACAGACATCAGCATCCTTGCCAGCCATGTGGTTTCTGTACCTTTCCAACGAGCTGAAACCATAGTGGCTGCTTTGTTTGCGACAAAAGAACAATGCCCCAAAAGGTCCCGGACCATCAGACATGATCTGACGGTCCATTTTCTGCTGCTTCTGCTGCAGCTGAGATGCCACTGACTCTCACATAAGCCACAGTGCACATCATTTGAACAGCACGATGATAAATACCAACATTCTCTCTTGTATTCCAGAAAAGCATCTGTATGAAGCAGACCTGGCTGCCACGATCCTGTGTTTTCTCCCCTACCACTGTTGCTTCTACCCACATGATTAGAGGCAAGATGGATTATATACCATATTAATGATTTACTACTACTAATAATAATAATGTTCTGTCAAGTTAATTCTGACTTATGGCAACCCTTTTCAGGATTTTCAAGGCAAAGAATACTCATAAGTGATCTACCATTCCCTTCTTCTGAGGACACTCTGGGACTATAAAGCTTGCCCAAAGCCACACAGGCTGGCTCTTCTTCCAGAAGGAACAGTGGGGAATTGAACTTTCAACCTCTGGCTCCCCAGCCAGATACCTAAACTACTGAGGCTGCTTTAAGCACCTCAGTGATTTAGGGACCTGGCTACTGCCTTGGGTTCTTTTTAAAGAGAAAGGCAGGATAAAAATATTTTCAATCAATCAATCAGCATCCCTGGCATACACAGACCCTCAATAATTTGCTAGAGACCCTACCGTTGCCCGCAGTGCCTGGAGAGCGACATTCCGCTGGAAGCCCATAGAGACAATGATGGAGACCATTTCTTCTGGAGGTTGGTTCTCTAGCCCAGAAAACCCTGTCCCTCCTGGCCCAGGAAGAGCAGCTCCTGCATATCCAGGAATGGCTAATGGCTCTGCAAAATCTAAAACATAAATGGCAATTATTCTAATCTGCTGAAAACAGACTGGTCAGTTATTTCTAAGCCATTTCAACCAAAGTTTACATTCTAATACAGTACAATTTACTAGCCTTGAAGGCATCACATGGGTCTGGCATCTTTGATGCAAAAGACTGACACATCTCCTCCTGTGAGGACTTGGATCAGTGGTTGTTGTGGGTTTTTTTTTCGGGCTCTTTGGCCGTATTCTGAAGGTTACTCTTCCTAACATTTCGCCAGTCTCTGTGGCCGGCATCTTCAGAGGACAGCACTCTGTGCTCTGGTGTAGTTGGCTTGGGAGTGGATCAGTATTTTTCCCTTGATAAACTCTGCTTCCCCATGAATGGGTCTCCACTGTTTAAAAAAGGGGGGGAAGTGCCACTGGAAATCCCAGCCATGATGAGGGTGAACCAGCTGGCACTAAATCCTGGCAAGGCAGAGATGCTGCCGGTCAGTAGAAAGCCAGATTTGGGGACTGGGGTTCAGCTTGATGGACACAACTAAACTACAACAACAGAGAACTGGATCATAAAGAAGGCTGACTGCTGAAGAATTGATGCTTTTGAATTGTGGTGTTGGAGGAAGCCTTTAGAGTCCCCTGGACTGCAAGGAGAGCAAACCTATCCATTCTGAAGGAAATCAACCCTGAGTGCTCACTGGAAGGACACATCCTGAAGCTAAGGCTCCAATACTTTGGCCATCTCATGAGAAGAGAAGACTCCCTGGAAAAGATGTTGGGAAAGTGTGAAGGCAAGAGAAGGGGACGACAGAGGATGAGATGGTTGGACCAACATGAATTTGACCCAACTCCGGGAGGCAGTGGAAGACAGGAGGGCCTGGCGTGCTCTGGTCCATGGGGTCACGAAGAGTCAGACACGACTAAACAACAACAACAGAAGGGATTGTGCTGCCCCTTCTTGGGTCAAATCCATGTTATGACTCAGCTCCGTAGCTGGACTCCCAGGTGGCCTCAAAGACGAGGAATGCCTTGTACAACTCCCCCCTAGTACACCAGCTACAACCTTTCCAGAGTTGACTGAACTTAGTAACAGCCATCCATGCTTCCTTTACATCGCATCTTGATGCGCTCTATGTGCCAGGAGTTCCTGTGCCCAAGTAAATGACTCATTTGCCACTACGAGTCAAAATATACACAAAATAATTTGTTTCATTGAAAGTTTGATTCCTTAACAAAAGCAAGACAAATTCTTATAGAAACTTTACGGGACATGTTACATGAGCCGGCATTTTACTATCCTGGCAAATTTAAATTGTTGACAGTTGGAGGAAAATGCAAACAACTGAGAATTATAATTACAGGAAGGTAAGAAACACATGCTTGCCACACAGACACTGAATACCAACAATGAAGATAACAACGAATGCAAGGTATCATGTACTAGCAGCAAGCAGCACTGAGGTAGAACAGACAAGCAAAATGGTGGAAAACCTAATATTTAATATATTTCAGTCTGAATATGTTAAGAGGTTAAATAACGTTACTCTACTTTTATATATTTTTACTTTTTAAAAATATGTGGGGGTTTTAGGCTATAAGATCTTGCATTTGGTTTTCTATTCTTAAAATGTATTTCTTCTGTATTTTTATGCTTCTGCATGATTTAAGTCTTGCCTGCAAACTAAGTTTTAAATGTACTTCTGTTTACAGCTTCTCATAATTGTAAGACTTTTGATAGCAATAATATCTGAAGCTTTTCACAAGTTGCAAGAATGAATTTCTCTTCAAGCATTTGTGAATAGTTTTTCATAGTTATAAGGCTGAATTCTGTCTAACTGGAATGTGCCTATAACGTCTCAAAAGGTTGGATGTATTCAACAACTTTGAATTAATTCTGTGAATATGGATCATAGAATGTGAACAAACCTTGTACAATTAGGCAAGCTGATGTGCCTGAGTAATTTTTTACCTGGGAAGAGGGAGCTGTATATGACAAGGATGACTGGAAAAAATTTACCTCGCTGTTAGCTTCTCCTCCTCTTCCGAAGAGAGAGTATTCAAAATTTCACCTTGATACCCAGCTGAATTTTAATACCATTGGAAAGGTTATCAGGTTCACACTAGAATTAACCCATTCAGAGATAAATGTCAGCTCTAATTTTTCCAGTGGCCTACAGG